TGGGTTTGCTGACTGCGGAGGAAGATTTTATCATGTGACTTACTTATCTGATTCATCAGATCAGCTTGCCGTAACATCCTATATCCTTCAAAAGCATGTCTAAAATAGGATGGCTAGCAAACACTGGTTGCATAAATGCTTGCTGAAATCTAACTGGAGGAGTGGGACAGGCAAGTCAACACGTTTCTGATGAGACAGCATACTGTCAAAATCTAAAGAATAACTGAAAGTTGCTGTACAGTAACCAATGATAAATGCTATACCAGACAATGCAAGTTGAGCAACAGTTCGAACACTTTGAACAAATAAAGATGCCTTATTGTTTCCATCATCAGGCTGTATTATTGCAACTTGAACACCATCCACAATAATAAATGCTGTTAATTCATTAACATTACAGCCATGATCCTTTGCAATTAATCGTAATACTTCCTCAGGTTGAGCTTTATATTCATATTGAAATTCATGCCAAGTTTTTCCCTATGCAGAAGGTGACCAATGATAATCAATGCGCAGAAATTTGCGTTTTTCTGATGAACAAACGGATATTTATTATAAAAATAGCACTGGTTAACTCACTTCAGAAATCAACCACAACGCAATAAAGCAATCTACGAAAAATGCTTACATTCACAAGCGAATTCTTTTTTTGGAGTATTTATTGGCTTCGTTCTCGGCCTGTTGCTCAATGGCATGATTTATAATAACCAACTCCACAACATGGGACTATTAACCAAGATCTGACAGATTCTTAATTGAATCTGAAATTGTTTATTTCTACTTGTGTAGCTGAAAGAAATGCTGCTTTTATATCTTTCGAACGGACCAATTAATCTATTTTTGGCAGCACTTGGTAGTTATGTAAGGCTGCGATGAAGCGAAACGAATTGCTATACACCTGTTAAAATTTTGTCGTCATATGTAACCATATTTGCGGTAATGAAATATGTTGTGTATTTACCACGCTATTTATAACGTGTAATCCGTCAGTTTGAATAAAAAATTCTTTTTTGCAACAACAATTTAACTTCTTCACAAACTTTGTTGACAGTAACTAAGTTCACTCTGTGACTATTCCGCTAGTTATGGTAGTTCTTCAGGCCGGTACGGTTCATATGGTTCGTACCATGTCAGTTATCTCTGTTCAGTTGAGCATTATCGATTTGATGAATTAGGATACCGGAATAGGTAACCGGTCTTAATGATCGAATATTATCGTCAATCGATAATATACTTGGTAAGAATTGTTCAATGATTGATAATTCACACACTTGGCAATAATAAATTAATATTGTTATACTAAGCAACCGAAAGGCATCATATTAATATTTAATCACATCATCACATCCGGACAAGAATGACAGTGTAATTAAGGAGGTCGCGTACGCATCAACATAAGCAATAAACGTAGAGAGCGCTTTTCCTCACATTTACAGTCCCCGGCGAAAATAATGGCGGTGACAATCGTTTTTAAAGTTTTTATAAAAATTCAATACAATTATAGTAATATGTAAATGTATTATTACTTTTCTTATTTACTTAATATGTCAGGCATGATTAAAAATACCCTTGTCTTTATATTTGCATTTTAATAATCTCATTGAGATTTGGATTGATGACAAACTTATAGTAACAGTCTCAAATTTACTATAAGACGTTCGCGTTTTTAGACTTGCTATGGTTTTTGCCTGATAAAATCTAATCTGTTAATGTAAAAAGCTTTTACATTTGCTTTTAGTCAACTTATATTCATAATATTAGGTTAAATTAATATTCTGTTAAATAAAATTTTTTTAAAAAAATAATAAGAACAAAATTGATATATTAAAATAATACTGGCCGCCATTATGTTCGCCAGGGACTGTAGATGATGAATCGATTACTGGACTGAAAATAATTCCCTTTATTTGACTGGAGATCAAGCAGGGAGCACAGCCATGGATTGGTCACCGTACTGCATCTGCCCGACACGATAAACTTTACCTTGAATTGGAGCAACTGATCTCGGGTGATCTCGGAGATTTCATCAGCTCGGCAAAAAGCCGTAACTTGTAATGTCACATGTTCAATTTATTGTAGCACACCCCATTACATAGTCAGGTGATCGACCTGTACGATGTTCTGCACGAGATCGTGATTTGATCGTGATCTCGTGCCTGTGAGTAAATAACAGACCAGGGACGAATTTTTTTATTCGAGGGAAATGACCCCCATATTAATGTTACCGAAATGTTGCACAACCAAATAAACTGTCGATTAATGTGACCCCAAGAAATTAAAATTAGTATAAGAAATCGTGTTGTACCGCCTTTCGGGTAACAGTAATATACGCCAAAAGTCCCGACCAGCGCAAACATCAACTATAGTTGCAAACATCGAGAGTTTGAGTTCTTGTTGGTAGTAATCATAATGCATGTACACGAATTAGGGCGTCTTTTAAATAACAATAATGCATGCCCATTCCTTGAAAAATATAACTGGGAAAAGTTTTGGACGATTATTGCCAAGGCGCCTTAGATTGTTTATTTGTACTACAAAGTCACCAATCCCAACTTTGGTGACATCAATAAAATCCTATCTTGGATTTTTGACGGTTATTTAATGGTAAATTACTTGTCATTTACTCATAGTACTGTGTTTTCTATTGCCACATACAGGTTCAGTCATGTGGACATTTGTTTGTTTATCAAAGTGCCTTATTATTATCAAGCAAACATACTGTTGGGGCAGATGGGAGAGATCAAAGTTTGTCTGAGATCACAAAGAAGTGAGATTAAAAAAGCGTCTTCGGATGGGTATATAGGTAGGTAAACCATATTCATTTACCATTTTATATCACGATGGAGATATGGAAGCTTCGTTCTGTTGCCAAGCGCGAGTATATTTTGCAGTGTCCAAGGATCGCAAGCGTCGCAAACTAAACTGACTGTAAAGCCTATTTTATACCGAGTGAGCCCAAGACTATGAGATGACTACACGTCATTTTACTGATATTACTATCAGCGATTTTCTGTGGCGCCATAAATTTCAGGGGCGCTACTCGTTACTGCAGCATACCCCGTATACGATATATTATGTTAGACTTCATTTATCACAAATAATGTAGCGTCTCACATACAGTTGAATTCTTCCCTCTTCCTCATGCGTAACACAATTGACACCTGCATTGCAACGGATTTCACAATCATCTAATCTTATAGACCACCGAACACACTCATCGATGGAATGTATGACATTATAAATATGCAGCGACCCACCAGATAGTAAGGCAACCATCACTAAAGAACACAGTCCTCTAGTTGAATACGAGGAACCATTAAGAAAGCTAGCTACTGACATTGTTATTTTACAACAACTATTGATCAATATATACACGCTGATCTTTTTTTTTGGCGATAGACAGAAAGCATTCGCTTGCACCCCTTCCTACTTACAATCGGTCGTTAATCAGAATGTACGACAATCCGGATGTCCTCATACACGTAGGAGAAGGAGATAACGCCAAAGATTTCTATGCCCACAAGAACATTCTAACCAAAAGATCGTTATACTTCAATGCTGCATTATCAAATACCTGGGCAAGAGTAGAGGGAGATAAGATGGTATTAAGGAAGCCTAATGTATCTCCCAGAGTCTTTGAGATGTTGTTAAGGTCAGTAGAATGGGCTATGAAAAGAAGCTTGATTACACGGTTCAACACTCGTCTTTTCGATCCCCTCCTAATCGCACATTCTTAACAAATCATTAGCTATTTCTATGCAGGAACGATCCCCTTTGATGTATATAATATATCAGACATCCTCGCTCTTCTTATTATAGCTGACGAGCTTTTGATCCCCGATCTTCTTCATTCTCTTCAGTCCTATCTAATTACCAACTCATCCTCTTGGATAGACTCAAATATTGGTAAAGTACTCCACACAGTTCTCAAACACGAGAACGTACAACTACTGCACGAGTATTGTATCAAAAAGGTAGCATGGCATCCGCATTTAATATTTGATAAAGATGAATATTTGGAATATGAGGAATATGTGATGTTGAGCATATTAGAGTCGAACGAGTTGCAGATGGAAGAGAAAGATATATGGCATCACGTGATTAAATGGGGAATAGGCAACACGGGGGGGTTGGACCCAGATCAATCAAAGTGGACAGTAGAAGACTACCATTTACTTGGTAATACTATCAAGAATTGCATAAACAATATCCGATTCTCGGACTTTACAATTGGCACCTTTTACTCTCATGTCTGGCCTTACAAACACTGCCTTTCGTCTTCTATGCGACGAATCATTATCGAATACCAGAACAACGTTCTTCCTTTTCCCATCCTACCTAATATCCTCACGGCCCGTTGTTCGATAGTTACTATAGAGTCTAACATAATCACTCCTGAGCAAGCCGCACGGATTCCTGATTGGATCGAACAGACAGAATTGATGGGCCAGACATCGCCATCGCCAGTAAGAACGAGGAAAAGGCACGAGTTTCATCTGCTGTTGCGAGGGAGCAGAGACGGGTTCACCCCAGACGTGTTTCATGAACGATGCGATGGTCAAGGTCCTGCAGTTGTTATTCTTCGAATAAAAGGATCTAAACAGGTAATTGGGGGATACAATCCCATAGGATGGCGAGGGCTGTTAAAAAGTCGCTGGGTATATACAAAGGATAGTTTTCTATTCTCGTTGGGACATCGCAACAAGGCGTCCGATGCCAAACTGAGCAGAATTTCTCCTGGCAATGAGGCAATATATGATGACCCTGAGTTTGGTCCTTGTTTTGGAAAGACTGATTTGGATATGCGAATCAAGTTTGACGAAGAGAACTGTTCTGCCGTATGCAGGAGTTATAATGAGAATATTGTTGATACAAGCGAGAAGTTTGCAATTGACGAATATGAGGTGTTTCGGATAGTATCTACGACTGTGTGCTATGGAAACATGTGGAAATGTAGTATAATGTGAGTCGGGAGAAATAAATCTGATTATAGAATAAGAAAGACAGTTTGATAATAAGTAATTGAGTAATAATGTGATGATTAATGAATAGGAGCAGCATGCATATTCAAGTAAGTATTGCTTGTAGTGTCTGCTTGAGAATATCTTGTTTTCGATCAGTATCTAGATTGTGCTGACCGTATTTATTTTGTGATATAAAACGAATAGTAAATGTACTATATATGGTATGTAACAAATTGATTTAATAATATCCTTGTGTACATGAATAATCCTTTACAAAATTGAATATTTGACAAAAAAATACATTGTAGTGAATGTGTTAAATCTCTGGAATTTGCTTTATCTGCCACACAGTGGTCTTCATTTCCTGCTTGTCAACACTCAAAGAATCCATCGTCTGCTCTTGCAACTTCTTGAATCATGTTGCATTTTCGTAGTTTACGTTTTTGCCTGCCCACTCTTCCCCCCCACGTTTAATTCAACAGTTCTTCATCTCTCCCTCTTGTATATCTTGTTCCCAATTTTGATCAATCTTCCCAAACGACTTGAAAAACTTCATACTCATCAACACTAAAGAACCCATCATCGTCTCGAATCGCCTTGTCATAACTACCCCGCTTACAATAGCACCGCTTATCGTAACGAAAGTTTTCTTGTAGACTTAGATCGGAATAACCAAAGTGTGGACCCATTAAACTATTGCAGACAATCGCGTTTTTTGGAACCACCGGATAGGATATGATTGGCAATGAATTGATTGTGGTTAGAGATGGAGGCGGAGACGGAGAAGATGAAGATGTGGGGGTCGGAGGAAGCAGAGGATGAAACAATAGGGAATCATACGATGGTGGAGTGGAATATTCATATATGGGTTGGAGTCTGTCGTCATCACCGAAAGTTCGTTTCTTCTCACCTCTCACTCCATAATTCTCAGTTTCACCTCGACTAACCTCCTCGTCTTTTCTCTCTTCCTCTTCCGTCTCATATGCCTCACCATTCCACTCATTGAAATTAAAAATAAACGCCTCATCGCTTGGATGAAAACACCCGACTCTGTAATCTGCCTTGCGCCAAGACAATGGATTATACCCTCCTATCACCTCGTTCGTGCCTTTCACCCTTACTACCGTTACTGTTGGTCCTTTATTATCACATCGTTGATGAAACACAGGCGGCGTGAATCCGTCCCGCGAACCACGAACCAGGAGACGAAAATGGACCCGGGAGCCTTTTGGAGAAATTGGCTGGATCGGTGGGAAGACGGTAGTGGTAGGGGAGGGGGAAGGTATGGAAATGGAAGGATTACGAAGTGAGAGTTTCTTGATGACGGATTTTTTGTATGAAAACACAGATGAGGTAGGAAGAGGAGAAGAAGGAATTTCTATGTCGTTAACGTCGTCATTAGTGTTGCCGATGTTTTGTATTTCTTCATCCTTTGCATCACTTCCCATTCCTTCCTTATCCTCTTCAACGTCTTTTGACCTCTGACTCCTTCGTCCCCTAAGGATCCTCTCGGCTAACCAATTTGCCTGCTTCTGCGACATTGCCGCCGAATCGATTTTAAGTTTGACAACTTCTTGAGACACATGTTGTGGAAGTATAAATAAGAATGGATGTATTTTCTTAAATTCTGCGGGGGGGATCGCTTGAAAGTTTACAAATTCAACAAATTTGTCGAGAGTCCGTTTCAGACACTTGAAATGATACGGGGACCACTGAGATGTATCGTAAATGGATTTTGATATTACAAGATGTTGTATCTCTGGCGTATTCGCAATAGAGTATTTTAAAATGGAATCCCATAACTCTGTCTGTCTGATATTCGCTATACCCCGCTGTAATATGTTGAGTAGTACGTCTTCCTCTAACACTGTGAATTTTTCCGATTTGAACAATAGTTCTGGTCTCGTTCGCAAGAGCTCGTCCGCATACTGAGATAGAATCTCAAATTCAGGATGTAAATGTACACAAGAAAGAACAGATACAAAGTTTGTTTTTGACCATTGTTGATAGTTAGTTGTTAATAGTGTTTGGAAGGGATCTACGAGTTCGTCTATTGACAAGCATTTAGCTGCAACGAGGAGAGGAAGGACAATATTTGAGGGAAGCGGTTTTATAATAGTGCCTGTATATAAGTATCTGAGTAAAGGGTAAGAGAAAGAAGAGAAAGAGTAGACTATGAGACCCTTTTTCGACAAATTATTTAAATTGTCACTCTAATAGTTTTCGACAATATTGTCAGAGATCTTCATTATATTTTTTTATTCTTACTTTTGTTCAGCGTATTAATTGATTCCCCATAGATATTTTGGGTTTAATCTCTTCCTTTCTCTCTTTTTACCTACTCAGTTCTCATACCTTTTTCTTTCAACGCAGATACTCACCCAACCAAAAGCTCAACAATTTCTTTCTCCATTCCAATCTCAACAACCGTGCACAAGTCCTCGGACAGTAAGTATTCCTCCGTAAGAGCCTCTTTGAAGAAACTCGATCGTGCTTTTAATATCAACGAATGACCCCATATTCGCACTTGTTCTTTCCCACATTTTATTATTACGTCTGCGTCTTCTGGGTTGTTGACTAGAATCGATAAATCAGTCGAGAGCATTGTATGAAGTTTCATCGATAAGGATGGGGATAATAAGAGTGAGCTAGGTAGTGAATATGCAAATAGCTGTTCGTCTGGTGACAAAGTAGCGGCAGATATTGATGTAGTCATTTTCACAGTATTAATTAATTACGGTGCACGTCTCGGACGCTCGAAAAGATATGGTTGAGGAGGAATAAGCCTGGGAGAAAAAGAAGAGAAAAAAAGAGTCGGTCACAATAATTGCGTCTTGCGGCTTTATCAGTTTGTTTATATACATGTTTGACATTTACGAATTCATTTGCAATTAACGTAGCCTAATTAATACACAACTTTTTGTCACCAGCATAGATCAGCAGGGTATAAAGATGGTTTATTGTTGCGACAAATTTGTTCAGATATTTGAAGATCATCATTTATGCATGCATCTATTACCCTATTACTATCAACATTCTAACTCTAAATCCGTTATTATTATGGTCCAAGACATATCAAAGGAGTCAAAAGGACACAAAACCTGATTGCACTCGTCTTTTATGATTGCTCTACGGATGCGGTTTTATTTATATTACAACGGAGAGGTAAATGAAACATATGCATATATATTACGGACAACAGTTAACAATCCATGCTAAAAATATCAACGCTATCTTCTCCTTCCATCCAATTCCGACAGACTAATTCTTGTTTACTCAAGCCTAACCAGTCTTTAAACAGGTTTGTCCAAGAGTCTTTTTGGGAAAATCGACAAGTGGAATACTTTTTGAACCAACAAAGAAACCCAAATTTCCAGTAACGCTAGTAGCCAAATTTATTTCGGTAACATTAGCACAATTATTGTCAGCTCCCACTGTTGCATCAGCACTCAACGTAGTAACGACTTGCAATCCTGTCTTGGCATCTAGCAGTCCATCCAGCACGCTGACACTCAATGCCAGCTGAGGCTTAAGATGTCCGGCTATGCCTGCCGAGACCGTTAATCCGACGGTAGGGGGGGCATCATTCGCGGTAATAACTGGATCAAACCCGGTCTGTGTGAAAGATGATGAAGGATCGTCGAGCAGTGAGACGGAAGCACTAAAGTTTGGATATGATATCAAACCACCCGTGGTAAGTGAAACGGTGGCTGATCCGTGAAGGTCTGCAGAAGCGGCTAATATGATGCTTGGCCCGACATTGAATAAACCAGGTACTCCCAAGGGCGTCAGTGGAACCTCCAGCAGCTGTACATCGGGAGTTGAAAGAGTTCCAGCAACTTGTGTATTGAATTTTAGATCAATGTTTATATCCAAATTTCCATTAATCGTAAGCGTAGCGTTGGTAACCTTGGGTGGTATTGATGTGCCCTCGATATGAAGTGAAACTGTTGCGTTGCCTTTAAGAAAACAGTTCGCACAGAGGATGGATTCTGATACGGCGCCCTTTCCGACTGTCAAAAGAGGTACGTTGGGCTTTGATGAAGCGCCAGTGGCAGGGTCGAATAGGGCAGAAAGATCGATTTCCTGATCCTTGTCCGCATCGAACCTTCGTGACATGGAACGACGACCTAGGGACCGCTTTTTTTGGTGTTCCCAGTTGAGATCCATTACAAAATTATTCGACCACTTTAGCACTTGGCAAGGAGTAGTAGTAAATTTGACACTATTCTCTTTTTCGCTCACAGTCTTATTTCCAACCAAGTAAAATTGCGTTCCTTCTTTACCGAAACAGTTCCACTTTTCGTTAATCAATACCATGACTTTTTCGGGCCACGATTCTACTTCATTTCTTGATGCCTCGTCGTCTACAACGAACGTGATAGTATTGTCTGAGGCATTGCAGTTGATATTGACAATGCCCTCGGTTTCATCAGGATTGAATGATGGGATAGTTGTTTGAAAAACGACGTTTGCATAGTGACTGGCGCCAGGTCCCTGAGAGAAAGTACCGCGGAGGGAGGTGGAAGCTTTGAATTGACGTTGAGCAACTGGATTGAACGGAGATAAAGGCCTGAATGCAATTGTTGGAGGTAGAGCGACTAGGATGGAGATGAGAGAGATGAGGAAAATGAGGGAGAATGAATTAAGGGAATCGGAGGACATCTTTGCTGTGAATGAATGACGATGGAGGATGTTATAACGTTGTCTATGATATATAGATATGTTCTTTCAACGTCCCAGACGTCGAAGTAATAATTAAAGGAAGGTTGTGAAGCCTTAATATTAAGGCTATATATCGGAAATGTGAATTGTATGAATTTTTCGTACCGCTGAGTAAGCTGGTTAAATGCAAAACACTGCCACTTCATGGCTATTTTATATCTTTTGGCATTAAATACCGATTAGGAAATGCTTCGCTTATTGATACAATAGTGAGGCTAAACATAGCAATTTAGCTCGGCCATTCATCTGCAAGGGACCATCGAATACATTGAATGCGATTGGCTTGGCGGTACGTAATAAAATGAACTTGTCAGGTCTGAAACACTTAATAATGCCCAAAGATTTAAGGTTAACGCATTGTTGCTTTGTTTTTTGATGTTTTCGCTCTTTCTTGAATGTTTGTCTATACTATGTCTACTTTTGTGCAATATAGAAGCGCAGAATTATAACAAAGCCCTTGCGACTATTGTCTGCTTACCATACGCCGATTATCTCCTTTTTTCCTTTCAATGGGAACATTCATTACCGAAACGTTAGGTTACATCAATTTGCCGATCTAATCCTTTTCAGAGTAATTGAACAATGACGATAACATTCATGCAGAAAATAGTAGATTTTCTGTCTGAATTTAAGGTTTTATTAATAATTTGTGCTGCCTACTTGAACATTCATATTTGTTGAGAGCGTTAGAGATCTTGACATCATTGTCTAGTATCTAGGGGGACTTGTTTGCATCAGTAATAGTACATTGATTGTCCAAGAAGCTTACATTGGGTTTCAAAATCAAAACGGGTTTCGGACACGTAAAAATCAACAAGTAATTATTCAAGTGTGTTACGGTCACCTAGCTATTAATAGCAAATGCTCACACCAAACTGCTATTTATAGAACAACGTTATAATAAAAAATTGCAATTGCGCAACGTGATGTAAAATTTAACTCGATAAAGAAGACAAATTGAAATTAAATTAAATTTTGCAAACCGGAAAGCTTAGTTTGCGTTGATGCTTCTCCCCTAATCCAACCTTAAACCTATATTAGGTCAACAGTCAATTCACGCAAGTTAGGATTTGATTCGTTTACCAATTAACTGTTAATTTGTTGATTAAAAAACCGTGAAAATATTTGTCATGCAATAATACAATTTCTTTGTTTATCCTAGCCTGGCGATGGCCGATCGTGTTCTATTCTTGCAAGCATTGGAGTATAAAAATATCCGTTATAATATATGATTTGTCTTTAGAAGGTTTCCTTATCGGGACAAAAAATAATTGCAAAAACGCTTCCATATTTACTTAATTTTGTTTTATAGATAACTCATTGTTTTTAGTTACTAGTTTGGTTGATACGACGCCACAAAATAATAAGTTTTATGAATTTTAATTTTCCGGAATTAATGTTTCTATAATATGATTTTAGCCAGTAGTCTTTGTTTCGTCAATAGAATACTTGTTTAATTATTTTTTTTAACATTAGTGGATACATAAAAATAGATTATATATTATTGGCAATACGAGTACCTACCAAAGGCCGCATGCAAAATCATACCAAATATCTGTAAACAAGAATCTAACAAAGAAAATTTTTTTATTTGCCATAGTTGACAATTAATGACCACAGACTCAATCAGCACTCTTTAAAGTTGTCAGCCATCACTTTGATTCATAAGCCTAATATTTATTAGTGTAAATAAACGTTACAGCTCATTTGTCGTTCACAAACAAAGCACTCCAGATTGGTATTGTCGTATGCGCTGAAAATTTTTTCTTCTTTACTTCTAAAAGTAACGACAGTACGAAAATTTAGAATACCGCTACACAAGAATGATTTCAAATGTCCACATGTCACATCGAAGTTTTTTGCAAATGCGCTGGCTAATAATCTTTACGGCAATAAGCCAAACATGCCAACACATTCGGCATTTACAGAAATGCTTTGCTGCTGTGATACCGGACGGTAACCATCCGTGATTTTCACATTCAGCAATTTGTGCTAATGCTACACGACCAGATAGATCTGCAATGTCATTACGCAATATGTCATGAAAGATTTCGTCACATAGATTTTCACGATCGGTCGTTACACCCAAGTGCATTGTGCGCATAAGATGACAAAAGCAATAAACGTATACAATATTAGTTGTATCCTGCACTGTCTTGTGATACTTTGCATTATGTCATTGTTAATATCTTTATATGCGACTCATGACAAATGGAGTCGACAAAGAATCGATTGAGTGCGAAAAGCAACAATTAAATAATTATTAGCAACCATGTGGCATTAAAGTTGAACGATATGTCCACGTTTCCTTGAAAGAATAATTAAGCTAGCCAATATTATTTTGAGCATTATTTAATTGTGGTTTGATAAAATTGCGTACACAGGTTGTTTATGCGCTTATCCTACTTAAGAGGTATTCATAAGCAGATAGATATTATAAGCCACGGTGCCCGCAACGATTAGGTATCAGCCGTCACATTTAATTTGTGTGATTGATAAATTGAGGCAATCTTTAATGCTTTTATCCTTTAAAATAATATTGTTCTGAATCAAGATCTCTATTTTAATGAGTTAAATTGATTAATTTAAATTTCAATTTTAGCCCCCAATTTTTTTCTAGTTGCCCAACCTGCCATAACTAGAAACAAAAATTATTAATCGTCGTAAAATTATTACATAAAACCTTGTCAACGATGTGTTTATTAATAATGCAAACAGTTGCTTGTTGTCGTGCTTCTATGTTTATTATATTCTGACTTTATAAAATTTACCATGTCTAATACTATGAATATAAAAGCGGGTGTAATCAAGAAATAGAAACGTTTGTTCATTTTTTATCAGACTACTTCTAATGTTACACACAATCCGAGATCGGTGCACCTTATAAAAACAACACGACTTACGCTTGTATTTTAACTTATAAAAATCAAATTATAACATCATTCCAGCATTGATGTCGAAATAATTTATCCGATAAAAAAACTGTAAACAACAAACAATTCAAAAATGCTTGCTTTCCTTATTCAACGTATAATTAACTTGATAATATGAACGAAAAGCAGTTTAAGCAGTTAAATAAAAAATGATCGAAGTAAACCCAAAAGTAAAACGTTCATTGAGCGACATTATTCGTTCAACATTGACAATTTGTGGAAAGATTTTAAACCTTTATTCGATACGAAATCTGAGCTGGAATCTGATCTCTCATTTAACGAGTGGCCACTCAAATCCACGACTTACGCGAGGAAAAAGGCGTTGCTGCCTCTACACTAAAGAACTTTTACCGAAGACAAATAAATGGGTTGATAAAGAAAAAGGGAAGAAAAATGAAGACGATAATAGCATTAATAATGGATTATGGTCCGGCGCAAAAAAGTTGATACACCAATATGCTTATAGTAGAAAAAATTATTTTTTTTGAAATTCATTCACATACTTAAATAAATTGACTTACAAATTGGGTTTTGAGGAATGTATCAGTAGAAATTTATTAAAACATTCAAAAAAGTTTTACTAGTCATCAATCTCTTCAACTTCAAGATCTTCACTGTCACTTCGACCAATAATATATCATCGTTTAAATTTTCTTTGGACGCCCTTGCATTCTTCGCTCTGAACGCTCTGAAAATTTTTCATTTTTACCGATATTATGTTCAGCAACCACTCGCGCAAGGGTTGCCTCACCAATTCCAAGGACCGAAGCAACCTCCTTGCGTAGTGATAAATCTGGACGTTGCGTCTGGTACTGTCGAGTATTTAAAAAATATTGGTAAACGCGAATAATCATTCGTTTTTCGTTATTGGTTAAAGAACTTCGCTCTCTATCTAAGTCTTCCATGGGAAAGATAAATGATCAAGTTTGTTACGAATATTTGAAGTTCGACATTTTCTTTACATTTTATTTGATTTGTATGCTTACATGATTCGATTAGCAAATTTTGTACATGTGACGAATTTCAGGTGACGAATTTCGTGTATCAACTTTTTTGCGCCAGACCATAGTATAGTATAGATTTCACTAGAGCAACCAAAGTATAGGGGTACTCATCAATGGCTTTGGGTCCGAGTATTTTCTCCCATGCGATCGCTCTATGAATCTTCGATATGCTAATACTTTGTTTTTTAAAGAATAATAAAGCCAATATGATAAAACACGTACTATCAATTATTGTAAATATCCTGATCATGTTAATCTTTTGCAGTGCATATTCAAATTTTTAATTAAATAAAAAACTCGCAAATTGTCCCAACTTAATAAAAACACAGTGAACAGTATTACGTTGAAGGCTATTATATTAAAATTAGCATTAGTATAAGAGAAATGATTAAACTAAAACATTAACCCATAACGATAAACACATAGAAATAAATAAATAAAATAGTGCATCAGACATCTATTACTATTGGGTCAGAGCATCAACATTGGCGAAATTGTAACTTTTATTCAAGTCCCCGTTTATCTGATATTGTCATGCTAATGTTGCTATTACTACTACAGTCAACCGTCTTTATAGTCACCCCCTCTATATGCACATCATATAAAAACCTCTTTATAAGCACATTTTCAACAAAAGTTGCCAGCGTGACTATAGAGAGGTTGACTGTATTTGCCATTGGATTTCTTTTTGGGTGTTCTCTTTTCACTTATCAATACTTTTTAATATTAGGGGAATTAAGCAGATTATCTTCTTCACAAACGGCAATGCAACACTTATAGGTTTCAACCGTTTCTTGAAGAATGTTCTATGTACAATGGATCAAAATAAAATTCAATTTGATGATAAATAAACTCGCATCAACAAAAACTATACTTACGCGGACGTGTAGCATGATGGTACAACACTTGAGCACCTCATGAATTTCATCAAGCGTGGTTGGAATATCAAAATAGCCTAAATCTGAAACACCGCACCAGGCTTGATTAATTGCTGACAGTGTAATCACATGAAATCTCCATGTTGAGAAGATCAATGCTGGCAAGATCATTCGTGATCTTGCCTTGTCTATTATAGGTAAACGTCCTCTTGAAGGAAGAGTCCTATCAATCAAGCACATCATATCACAAAGGTTCTTCTTCGATTTGATATATTTATTTCCAAGATTCGATCCTGTGTTCTCTGCTAAGCCAAATTCACGACCCCAATAGGTATCTTTCCCCAAGTTATGCTTCTAACGTGATAAAAATTTGTCAATACATAAAACTGCCTATAACAATAAATAACAACAAGCAATGTAAACAAGAATGCAACACGTGCCGAGAAAAGCCAGTCAAGTCGGCTACCTTCAGCATCACTTGTTCCATCTAATGCATTCCGTCTTTGTTGTCGTGATGCTCGGCTACATAACTCCCCACTATCTTTGACAGTTAGTGAAGTGTTGATTTATTCGAATTTTGCATATATAATAAGTATACTTACAAATGAAGATCCACAACATCAGTTAAAATCTGAAATAAAACTCTACTATAAAATATATCAACGTCCCTTTCTGTGTTTGGACGTGTTGGGATTCCTTGCTCAATATTTGTACAAACTTCAGATAATACATCAAATATCCATATTATTTCTGGATTGGTAGGATCAACTGATGCTAGCTTTAGTTTGTCATCATTAGTAGTTGTGTCAGAGTCTACACTCCGACCTTCAAGCCTTGCTTGTAATCGTTCTTTTGCTGAGAATTTCCGGGAAGGTGTTTCCCTTGCCAACTGTTGAAGAACACCTTTAGAACCTATAATCTTGAAGTCATGTGCAACTTTCTGAAGTTCTCTTTCTGAAAGCTATAAATAGGTAGAAATGAAGTTAACTATTTAAAAAAATGATAATCCATTATTAACGAAACTTACTTGCTGTAACGTGTCCAATAATACTTTTGTTGATTGTGAAAGAACAGTAAGAGTATGATGATTCAAGTCTATCTGTAACTGGGCTCTTGATGTATTTGATATCTTTAATGTTGTGTCACTGGTAATATCAATAATTCTCCAAAAGATGGCCCTTTTTATGTAAAGAGAAGATTTATCTAAATAGTTACAAAGTGTGGCATATTCTATTATCAGTCAGCATGTAAAACTTACTCATTAAAAGCATTTCTTCGTTTTGCATTGTTATATGACTCAACAGCTTCTTTAATATAAGGCTTCCCATTGACCCCACTCTCTATTCCCTCCATAAGAGGTTTTTCATAACTTCTGTCTGAAGAGAAAAATTCGTCGATTTGTGCACTATTTATATTATCCCGTTTTTCAATATCAAAATCTGATTCATCATATTCCATATCATCATAAGTATCTTCACATGTTTCTCTCCAAGACCGTTTGGGAGTATGGTTTATGGCGCTTTGCACTATTTCATGCTAATTATTACAATACATAAAAAAAAATAATATATATATATAGAATAAGAACATAGGATGCAGTATGATCTGATGATTTGATGCATAGTCAAGGAATTGTTCTATGATTATTGTTGATAATAATGCAAATTTTGGTATACTCACACACTGTCTTTTGTTGTCCGCTTTATTACAATCATCATCACTCTTGCGTTTCAGTAACGACACTGTTTCAGCAACCGAGATAGAGCGAATCACTTCGGTTTCATTATTTGTGGCACGTAATGTATTTACTGCATGTTTTAACTATAGATAATGCGGTGTAAACGAGGTTTTCTTGACAATTAGCATTGCGAACGACAATCCCCTAACCCTTTCAAGTTCCAATAAATTTTTATAATTATCGCTATAAAGTGATCTCCAGAATGCATTTACTGATCTAGGCTTTGGTTTATTCTAAGCATTAGAATAAAACATGTGTTAATTAAGTAACATGCGTCGACTGTCCGCGTATTTTGCGTAAGGCATCCTGATGCAAGCGGAACATGGTCTGCCGCAGCTTGACAACAAACAACCGCAGTCATTTGTCGCGCCATGTCAATAGACACACCCTATTCAAGTACTACCAGAAGCGCCGCAGCTAATCCCAAGTCACCGCAGTTATTGGTATTCTGGAATTTGTCAACACCTCGAGCTTGCACGGGTCGAGTGTTCTAGTACTCAAACCCACTCGCATCAGTAATTAACCTTTACGAAGCATTCTTACCTTAAAATGGTCAAGGTGTTTTTTTGCTTTGGCTTTGTCACGATCTTCATGGTAGTTTTCAGCAATATACACCAGATTCTTAACATAATAGAAATGTTCGAAAGCTTTATTTAGCCGAAAGTCTTCTTGAGTCTGGCGATACTTTAAGTAAGCTAACAAGCTCCAATCTTCGTTACTACGGAAATACTCGGATGACTTGATATCGATATCGTTCATGTTGCCAAGGTGAAGAAATGAGCTGACGCGTTCGCAGGAAATTTTATACTTGGTAGACCCGTGACTGTAAGCCACACTGTCGATACTAGTTTGGGTAGGGTTTTTCGCCGATCATTTTACAATAGTAAGTATAAATTTCAAAACGCCAAGGCTTTTCAAGGACATAGGCTATGACCTCAAAACTTAGAAGTTTTATACACATAAACTATTACTAATGTCAATAAAAACGAAAAAAGGGCTCCATTTTTTTGTTGTTAAGAAGATCGAGTTTATGTAGTTTTAATTTGGTGTGCGTATCTGCTTTCTCTGAGGAGGTGAAGATATCGTATTTTTGCTATCGACAAATGATCGGTAATTAATGGCTTAATATGGAATTTCACTAAACATGGTGGCCGGCGTTTCTCAAATTCCGTATTAAGCCATAAATTACCGATAGCAAAAATACGATATACTGTATAAGCTTAACATGTTGAGCAACTTTTGTGTTTTTTATGTTTTCTCTAAACTTCTGATAGCTGTTTGACTTGGGGTTTTTTAAGAAGATTTTACAAAAATATCTAAAGAATTCAATTGTTTACTTGATGAATTACACGTATATAAACCCGCTACAGTGATAATGTTATCCCATCCCGTATTAATTAATATACAGTGTGTAACGAAAATACACGTAATTGCCTTCGGATAATCGAAAATAAACAAGAAATACGTTTCAGAACAACCCTGTTTACTCTCCTGTTCTTTTAGAGCACAGCGACAAACAATTCTCCATTACTGGCTTAGCGGCGTCCAATCCCCAAAAGAGATACATAAAAAAACCAACATTCCTCTTCGTATTGTCGTCTAATCTTAAGAAACTTCAAGATACAAAAACCATTGAGCTCAGAAAGGGGAATAGGCATCCTTCAACTGTTACACAAAATGTCGCTTGTGCCGTTGGACAGTACGTGCATCGGAACTCTGCGTTTCAACACAGCAACTTGCATTAAAGGTGCAACAAACGCAAGAAATTTTAATTTCACATGCTGCTATTTGGCAGCATGTGAAGAAAAAAGATTACAAAAGCTCTGTACCTATTGGAACGCCGATGCTCACTATGCTCTATAGATATGACAATTGGAGCCGAACAATATTTACTGTGGCACATGATAAAAAACAATGTCGAAAAACGTATGCCCAAAAATATTGGTTGCTCTATCAATGGAAAATGGGGATAGAATATACTGAAAATTTTATGAGTAATAAAATATGTAATAAGCTTTCTGAAAAATCTGGAATTGTTTAATTATGTACACAGTAAAGTCCTCTTTTGTTTTAACGAAGACAGCCTTATAACGAAGCCTTTTACGGAACCGATTAGTTTAACTCCCAGTTTAACGAAGATTTATAATTAAAATCTGTATAACAATAACGATATACAGCGAAGAAATTTCAAACCCACTAATAAGACAACCAGTTGAACGAAGTTTTCCTAAATTAGCATGATATACCGAAATGTTGTATATAGAGATTTACTGCATGAAATAATTCTTCACCCATTCTTAGTTATGGAATCTTCTTCCAAAAAACGTCCCCGAGTTATAGACAAGCATCGTGCCGGATCAAAGAAAATCTTACAATTGTTATGAAGAGGAAAACCCGCATTTGAAAAATGTTGAAATTGCAACCGAGTATAAAATTGGAGAGTCAACGGTTAGTGAAATTCTCAAGTCGAAAGATAGGTGGTTAGCGGTTGATGAATCAATTCAAGCAAACACAAAGCGAGAACGGAAAAGTCATTTTCCTATCATAGAAGAAAGTGTTGCGATGTGGTGTGAGTAAGCGATTTAGATGGTATTACTCTCACTAGACCTATTCTACAGAAAAAATTAGCTGAACAGCTAGGAATTGATTCGAAAAAGTTTTCAGCATCAGATAGATGGCTTCGCCGGTTTAAAGTGTTGATTACCAAGATCTTCCAAGAATACGATCTAGTTGCGATGAAGCTGCCTTATTCTGGAAACTCGAACCTTAAACCCATACATTTGGATAGAATAACGATAATGGTGACTTGTAATGCAACAGGTACTAAAAAACAGCCTTTACTATTTATCCATAAAAATCAGACACCACGAGCTCGCGAAATCGAGTTTACCCGTCTTGTATTATGGAACGCAAAAGCTTGGATGGTGCAATCAGTTTTCTCTCATTACCTTAGTCGCTTGGATAGTATGATGAAAAAAGAGAATCGAAAAATTATACTGTTAGCTGATAACGCTGAAAAAGTAATAGCTAAATTGAGTTTATTTCTTACCGCCTAACACCACTTCAGCCGTTAGATCAAGGAATAATATATAGCTTAAAGGTATGTAATTTACGTTTAAGCAATAATTTAAACAACCTTAATTTTCTTTAGGCACACTACCGATCAATCCTATGTATCGAAGAATATGACATACTCAGAAGCGGTCTTAATTCGCCAGGAGAAACATCAAGTTTCCATTAGATGCCTTGCCACCATTAACAATTCTAGATGCAATTAATTTTGCTACTGCAGCATGGAATCGAGTGCTGTAAGGCATCGTGGAAATTTTGCCTACAATGTTCAATCATGTTTCAGCAGAGGACGTGGAGACCGATTTAGAATCAAATATCAGAGATTTGATTGAACAACTTCCCTCCGAAGGTGAAAATTTGACTGAAGTTCGTGAGTTTGTTGATTTTGAGGAAGTAGCAATAGAGAATATTGATTATAATAATGACAAGCAGTTTTTAAAGTCAATAGTAGCAGCAGTTAGAGAAGAAGTCGAAGAGGAAGGAGAGGAAGAAAATATTAAGAACGTTTTCTTTGCTCAAGCTGTAATGGCTCTTGATAACCTTGTCTAATTTTGTCAGCAAGCAAGATTTAAGTGTCGACATTCAATTATATAATCAGCGCGTAAACAATTGTTGAAAAGTATTGCGGCAAAAAACCAGATATGTTTAGAGGATTTTATTAACTTTGAAATTCAATAGAGAAACAGAGGAACATACAGGATTAATAAATCTCACTTTAATTAATATTACGTGATTATATATCAAAATTCGTTATAGAGATAGAAGTCCGCTTTTTTGGCGGAACGGAGCTCTTCGTTAAAGCGGACTTTATACAAATCACCATTGATTTGGATTAATATGTTTTGGGAGAGATGTCTGAATGTCCTGGAAGTAATCCTTTTAGCAAGTCCGAAGTCAGACCATGTGATCGGATTCCAATCACTTGGAAGAAGAGAGTTGGCATAAACTTCAGTGCATGCATCCCGATATTTTGCCGGTGGTGATTCGACCAACTATGTCTTTCTAGACTTGCCTCATTCGCATGATGGAGGAGGCGATAAACTTCAGTGCGTTCTTCTGGATGGCTTCTATACGTTGTTAATTGCTGATTTAGGTGTAGGGAGGTCATCTCACAGATTTGAGCTTGCAGTTTGACGCCATCTTCATCCGTTATTCGTTAATCCAATGTCTCACCCTTTAGTGACTCCTCCAAGTATATAAGCGCCCACAGCTTGTCTCTACCACACCACACCACACCACCTTACACTAGATTTATTATACCATCTCAATCTAGTCTCGCCACACCACACCACACCACCTTACACTAGATTTATTATACCCTATAAATCTAGTCTCGCCACACCACACCACCTTACACTAGATTTATTATACCCCCACACAAACTTTGCTCACACCACACCACACCACCTTACACTATATTTATTATACCCCATCAATCTAGTAAAAGCTGGGCTTTATTGTCTGTTATTCGCCACTTCAATGTCTGAATCGGAGGGCATATCTGCGCACCCTTTAGTGACTCCTCCAAGGTCCTCCAAGTATATAAGTGCCCGCACAGACTTCGCGGCTCGCCTCGCAGATCCCCTGCCACACCACCCCACACCACTTTACACTAGATTTATTATACCCTATAAATCTAGTGAAAGCTGGGTTTTATCAATGTCTCCGATTCTGTTTGAGATTGATTATCCGTGTCAAATTTGATCTTTAATTTCAGCTGGCGCGGTACTTCTTTTCTAGGTCTCAGCGAGGATAGGTCAAGATTTTTTTGGCAGAGAAGCGAAATCCGTTGGTTTGGCGAGGCATTTTAATTTAATGTGTATTATCAAGTCCAGATAATATTTCAAGAGATAGCTTTGAAATGTTTCTCTTCATACTCGTCCAAGAACCTCCAAATGTTCCAATCGTTCGAAATATTTATATACTTCGTTGTTGTCGCGCATGACAAAAAATAACAAAAGGAAGGACTGAAGTCTGTGTCTAAAGCGCGTTCGCGTTTATATATAGGATCATAGATCGGTACGCAGTTAAGGAAACGTAAACCGTGTAAAGTGTAACGTATTTCCTTATATAGGCACGTCGTTATTTATCGACCGATCTTTCACGTTTTAAATGTCAACAAGAGAATGCAAGTAGCAGTTCATTCATTCTTGTGACCAATTTATACCGTTACAAAGTCCCTAAACTCGAGGTCATATGACCCCCGTTTTTATTTACAATTATATCAACGATCACGTGATATAACAACAAAAAGAAGTTTATATTTAGGAAGAAGCTTTATTATTATAAGCAGTTTAACTCGTTGACTTAGTTTAAAATCGATCAAATTTAGAAAACTGTAATTCTATTTTAATTTGATCGACTTCTATTAAGTGTACGAACCCCCCTGAAAATAAACCCAATCGGCTTGACTGGGGAACATCGAAAATATAATAATACTTTCGTGGTATATGTTAATTTGATTACTGCAAGCACTTTTCTCTGCTGCATGACTCAATTAATATCAATATCTTATTTATATTTCTATTACAAATAACGTCATTGATTTTCGGTAAGTAACGAAAAAAAATTCATGCAAAAATATGAAATCATTGTGGGGTGATGACACAAACATGCGTGTAACACACAACCAAGAGAAAACGCCTGTGTCATCAAAGATTGCTCACCGACCCCAAAAAGCCCTTCGCTTAGAGTCCAAATTAGCGGCAAATATGAACATTAAGCCATACTCATATTCCGAAACTGACTCTGGAGTCAGAGTTCATATCTTCAAACCAACCATGGAAGAGTTCAAAGACTTCTATACATTTGTTACGGCTATCGACCATTACGGGAAAGAAGCTGGAATCGTAAAGGTGATCCCACCAGAGGAATGGTAAGTCCAAATGATAAAACAAATTACTGTTATGAAACCATTCTAGCAAAATAATTAACTAGAACTCTTCTTTGGTTAAAATCTCAGGGCACAGGGCCTACCCGATCTCAAAGAGAAGGTCCAAACTCTGACTGTTAAGAACCCAATAGAACAGATGTTTACTGGTCGAGCGGGGGTATATAAGCAAACAAACGTTGAATTGAAAAGAGGCTACTCTTTAAAAGAATGGCAAAAGGTCTGTTTACGTGAAGAGCACCGCCCTCCTCCGGAACGGCAAGCAAAGGCACGAGAATTCGCTAACAAGAAACGAAAACTTCCGGCAGACTTTGAACAGACGAATAATAATGAGGAGAAGACCGACGATTTTGATTATCGCTGGCCCAATCAATATCTATATACGGATGAGTACTGCCGAGAACTTGAAGGACAATACTGGAAATCTATTTTATATAATACCCCTATGTATGGGGCTGACATGATGGGTATTGTATAATTTATAGCAAACCTTGTTCATAATAAGATCGCATTTACTTGTTTCGTTTTACTATTACTAATGCAAGTTGTAACCTGTGACTACTAGGTTCTTTATTTGATAGTAGAACGACGTCTTGGAACGTGGATCGTTTAGAAAATCTGCTCAACAGGCTTAATGTCAGCATTCCTGGGGTCAACCGGGCTTACCTTTACTTTGGTATGTGGAAGGCGACTTTTGCATGGCACGTTGAGGTAAAAAAGAAAAAAGGAGCAAGACGTAATGAAGAGTGTTTGCACGTCATCGTACATCGTCGTAACGTTTGATAATCGTGAAATTTCAGGATTTCGACCTTTATTCTATTAATTACATCCATTTTGGTGCACCGAAGCAATGGTACGTCATTCCTCCAAAGTTTGCGGGAGAATTTGAGTCGTTCATGCAAGGTAAGCAAACTTGTTCTACATAAGCTCGTACCACAACCAAAGAATTCGGGATCACGTGATGTTCAGAGAGTAACCCCGATTTGAATATACACATAGGTCAGTTTGCAGCGGAGCACCGACAATGCCGTCAATTTTTACGGCATAAAATGTTTCACGTATCACCTAAAGTGCTTTCGGACAAGGGTATCCCATGCGGACGACTAGTTCAGCGTCAAGGAGAATTTGTTATAACATTTCCGTATGGATATCATGCCGGTTATAATTTGGATTACAATTGCGCTGAATCAGTAAATTTTGCAATTGAAAGCTGGGTGCCCTTGGGCAGGAGAGCTAAATTCTGTCCCTGTCAGGGAGACAGCGTGAAAATAGATGTCGGTTCCACATTCAGAGATCTTTTGGATGGCGGCACGAAAGATGAAAGTACAATAGTTTCAGAGAATGAAAGACATTTAATAGGTAGTAATAAATGTCCTCCATACGCAGTTTCTCGTATAACCAACTCACCTCTGAGAGAGTTGTTAAACAAAAAATACTTACACTTCGTGCTTATATATATATGTACATATCTATCAAAAAAAGCTCCGTCGTTCTCTACAAAGACGAGAATTTCCAATGTATCAGGAAAACGAGCAGCATCTAGTAGAAATTCAGCTGATGCGCCAGTCAAGAAGCCAAAGAAAATAAAACTTGTCCAGAAACAAGAGCAGGTAATAGGACAAATACGCTTAAATTTCTATCTAATTTAACTATTATTCATGGACCCTTTGACAGTGCGAGCTATGTCCTGTTCCCGAGGGTCCACTTTGTCGTACGGAAGAGGCGCTATTTGCTCATGGGTAAGATTATCAATCTAATACTAATCGTTTTCTAGTCCCTTGAGGTAATTTCGTCAAGTAATTTCTTTTCTATTTTCTTTTGTAGTTTATGTGCGTCTTTTGTGCCCGAAACTTATATTGCCACGCTTGATGATGATGAAGGAACGGAATATGTCGTTGGATTACAAGCTATACCACAGGAACGATGGGAGCTGGTGAGAGCGAGTATAACAAATGCTTTTGAACGCATTTAGTATCGCTGCTGACGTTAATAACTCCGTTTAATAGACGTGCGAGGTCTGCAATAGCAGGAACGGGGCTTGTATACAATGTGCCGAGTTGAAGTGCACTCGCGCATTCCACGCAGCATGTGCACAAAAGGATAAATATCATCTTCAACAACGCATTACTCAGAATGGCGAATTCATATATGAAGCATTCTGTAAAAGTCATGACCCGGTGAGCGCAGCTTGTTCCTCTCGCATAAAAACTAACATTTTGATTTATTGTCGTGAAGAGAAACATGAACAGTTTGTAATAAATAATATTCTTATTGTTCGTGTGCTTACGGCAACTGACTGATTTGATGGAGGGAGAGGGGAATGTGCATCATTTGTTATTTTGTATTACTTGCATAAATGTGACGATCTGCGTTAATACCACTAAATTTGTATCCAACTTGATTTTAGCGAGTACAGGCTGAAATTGCTAGAAAGAATGCGGAGTTAGCACCTTTTGTAGTACTCGGAGCAGAAGTGTGGGCAAAGACCATGGGGGCATGGTATAAGGGTGAGTTTGAAAGTAAAAGTAATTATGCTTTGGACGACATATCTCATACTTTTTATATGTAGGGGTGATCGAAGCAAGGGACGACGCCAGGGCGGCTTGTCGAGTCCTTTTCAACGATGGGTAATTTTTGGAGATTATTCTTCATACGTATTATTAGGCATAAGATTCAAACTTTTTATTCATTTATAGTTATGCGAAGACAGTCCATTGGCGAAGTCTTCGATTCTCCGATCCAGAGGCGACTGCTGCATGATTTCTGTAGGATATACATATTTAGAGCCGTTGGGTTACACCAACAAAGAAGAATCCCCCAAAAATGATCACGTGAATAAAAAAATTTCTTTATCGTTTTTCAGTCAAAGTGGACTCTCTCCGTTTGCACATAACGGATATCAGATATTAATATGGGAACTAAAAATAATATAAACAAACCACCACCACGAAATTTGCAAAAGGAAAGGCGAATAAAGAAGCAGTCGCATAAGAAGAACCCTCGACTCAGCAATCTGCAATTAGTGACGCACGCACGAGTATTGTCAAAGAAGAAGAAGAAGCAATTGCAAAGGATCGCTTTACTGGTAATCAATTAATTAGTTGCGATGGTATTAGAAAACACAAAAAGCAGTTAAATAAATGTGGTGATACTTATATTGACAGTATTTATTGTATACATTAACAATGTCATGCTGTTATAATGATTCTGCACATAAGTTGCAGCAAAATAACCTTTTTGAAATAGGGGAAGTGCTACCAGAGAAAGACATGACAGGTATACTGTTATTCATTAAACAAAGTATTATACTGCATGAAACAATTACTGAACGAGAACTCGCTATGTATGTAGAGGCGACAAAAATTGAGGCTGAATTGAATGCAATCGATTCGATGGAAATTACAGCCGTGGGCGGGGGGACTACCCTTGGCGGTCCTCCTGGCAAGGCCAACTGATATAACAGTGATATGGGCAGTAATGGGATCCGGTTGTCTTATTCGCGGAACCTATAATGTTCTATACTGTCGAACCGAGAGAGATTGTTATTATAATGACGACTAGACTACTACTATATTAGAAAACAATGGGTTGAGATGTATTCAATCTGTAATCCTTGATATAACACATACAGTTTTCTTAATTGGGTAAATGTTATTTCTTTGTTGATAACGGCCGCCCGATGATGCAAGCTTGTGCCTCAACGCCATTGTCGCTTGCAGTGTGTCATTTTCCCCATTGTTACTGATGGTTATAATCTGCACAGGGTTTATAGTACCTTTGTCCAAGTTCACAATCCCCACTTTCTATTTCTTCTACTCCCTGTCATCGTTCTTGTAATTTTTTGATTTTGACATGGGATATTTGAATGTTGATGTAGTAACGAAGGAGAATTGTTGGGAGAATTGTTGGGAGATGGGCATTTAGAAATTGTTACATGTTTCGGTAGCGGGCGTCCATGGCAGAGAATTGTATGCTTCAGCGAATGGGGCAAAATGAGAAGAGGCTTGACATGAATATTTACATAAAGTCAAAGAATTTTTACGCCGTTATTCGTTGTCTAGTGAGTGGTACTTGCTTGCTTGTGGACCGTCAGAACTTTTTATGATGTCAAGATTTATGTGACTGACAATGGAGACTATTGTTAGACAGTGGCTCAACTGCAGGGGTATATAGCTTAGGCATATCGATGTGCTAGTTCCAAGAGATAACATTTTGTGGGGTGAGGAAAGGGGAGGGAAAAAAGGGGAGAGGGGAGAGGGGGGAAACGCCGATGACAATGTATTATTATTCGGATGATATAACCTTAATCGCTGATGGTTTGGTGTTACTCACCAATAGATTCATTTTAACGTCAGTTGAATAGATAAGATATGATCTTTTTGATTTGCGCTGGCGTGCATACAACTTTGCTTTGACAGTAAACAATCATGCATCCTGCAACAGAGCGCGTGACCATTTTCTTGGGGCAATGGGGGGGAAAGGATGATAGAGTAATATGACATTGGATCGAATGGGGATGCAATAGTATATGGTTAAATTCTGTTTTATGCACCCCAAGCTTACAATGCAAACACAACAAACTAACTGAGCGGCTTGTAAAAAAAAAATAACAATTATGCGTGAATTACAAGTAACCATAGTTGTAACTGTTGTGATAAGAAAAAATAATAATGATAATGATAATAATAATAATAATAACAACAACAACAACAACAACAACAACAACAACAACAACAATAACAACTGACAATAACAATATTAATACGAAATAAATAGCGACAGTGTTTATATGCTGTTTTGTGCAAAATTGCAAACATAAAAGCAGTCGTTTTCGTTTTTCTCTCCCGTATCGGCTTCGATCGTTGACGTTGTCATTCCCAAGCGGGTTGATATCCATAATCGCGTTCGTACTATTCGATATTGCTACCCTTATTCGTCGATATTACAAAGTACAATTATCCACCTTTTTAAGCCATAAGATTTATCGTAAGATACAACGAACAATAAATAGGCGTTGATTGAATATCTTTTATAACGATTTTTGATCTTCTAGCGAGGTTAGTCTCGTTTAATTGGAACCATGGGGATGCTGGTTGCTACGAGAATAACTAAGAATAGCGTTTGAATGCGAGCAATCATCTTATTCACATAGTAATCATTATCATCCATATTTTTTTTTAGAATCAGGAGTACTCCTGCATCAGCAATTTGAATTTCGACGGTGAGTATGCATCCATTGTTACTCAAATGCCCGGGAAATCACCAGAATACGAACGATATTAAGAAACAAGATTTCATCCTACATATATATATAACTAGTAGTTCCCATTATTGCTTATTAACAAAAGAACTTGCAATGTTTCTTTACGACTATTTTTTCCCATCTACTGCGAAACATGTTTCTCATCTACAATCATCTTTTCCACAGAATACTGGATCGCAGCCAAAGAAATACCACGCACTTAACAACAAAAAACGTAGCGCACGAAGCAAGTCACATTATCGCCAACAACGAAAGATGTCACCAGCAATCCACATCAGATATTCCCCCAAGTCACTATATACCACCATTCCCAAAAAGGGTACTTTCGACAGTGAATGTCGTTACAAAATAGTAGATCAGATCTGTGTTGAGTCGAATTTGTACAAGATCCTTGGCGTGGAGAAAACCTGTTCATCCGAAGAGCTCAGAAGGGCGTATATTCAGGTATAGTAATAGGGTGTTTAGCGAGACGGGTACACAAAAATGTTAGTCACATGATAGATATTGATCATAATTTTCCAATTCTTCTTTTAGAGATCTAGAATATGCCATCCCGACAAATTTCCCGAATATCCACGAGCAACCGAAGCATTTCAAAGTAGGTATCAAGCGATATTTGATTATTTCATTTAACCCGTTCATCTATCTAACTTGTCCATTCTCGCTGTAAATTAGAATTGTCCTATTCCTACGAGACGCTCATCAAGCCATCTACTCGGAGAGCATACGATGTATCAGGCTCATCTGAATTCAGCATGTTTGCTGGATTGGCGGATGATACTCTGCACGGAGTATTATACCAGCTATTCTTGGAATTCATGGATGGAGACTTTGCGATGATATACGCACTAGTCAGTGAGTATAATTTACAAAAAACAGTTTCGAAAATTGTGATATAGCGCGTCCGCTAATGTGATTTTCTGTCTTGTTAATAGATGCATTGAACGATGGCAATCCTGGTCTCAATATTGGAGAAGATGTAATTGAGACAATGGAGCAACTTTTCAGACGACTGAGAAAATTACTATTAGGTAACTGCGATTCTGAACGAGGATTTCCTTTTGTCACCGTTGACGTGTTATTAATCTTCCACTTTGTAACCTTTCGTCCTGTAGCTGGACAGAAATACATGAAAATCATTAAATTTGAACTGATTCGTCTCCACGAAATCCAGCAAGAGCTTCGGACTCTCTCGTATTTTGACGTATTTGGTAGATTCAAACGTACCATGCAATTAGCGCGTATTACCTTGCGCATACCAATGCTTATCGATTCTGCTATGAAGACGGAGCACAAAATGAATGGTGGTAATGGTGTTCAACACGGACTTCTTGGTGACGGCATGGCTAAATTCATTGGTGGATTAGTCAGTGCGCTTGAGACGGCGGAGGGTCTCTTGTAAATATTTTTGATAACTGCAGACGTGCATGAAGGAGATGATTATTGGCGACTTCGATGACATATCATTTAAATGATATTATGACAAATTCCTATGAGTTACTTTGTTTTCACGTATGGACACTACTATTATTAGATTTTCTAAGCTATGCTATTTTCTATGATTGATTGTCTTAAAGACATTGTAGATATATGTATGTATGCGTGTGTGTGTGTAGATATATATATAGTTATATTTAGGTGTGTGTGTATATATGCGTGCATGTGTGAACAAGAGACTAAAATTTCTCTTTTAAAGTTTTTTTTTTATCAACTTAATGTAAGGCTAAGTAAAAAAAGGAGGAAAATATAGTGAACCCTAACAAAGACCAGATCAAAATCAATAACATTGTGACAAAAATGGCCTCGTGCATACACTTTGACTAGCCTTGCGAACTCGTCTTAACCAAATACGCCGCGCAATCCTATAATAATTAATAATGAAGATTTGTTTATAATAATAATGACCAAACCAATCATTAATTTCGTGTGTCCTTTATTAAGCACAGCCAATCATTAAATGGTTATAATCTTTGCAGACCTTGAATATTTTCCAGTCCCGTAGAATTCGTACCAGATTATGTGTTACTTTAATAGGATCATGGAGATAAAATTCGTCGACCAAATTTTACAACAGTATTGATGACGTTTAAATAGAACGTTTATATAAGGTTTAGGGGGCTAGGAAGAGGGGTGACAATTGGAAAAGAGGATGAAGAGAAATAAATCTTCCCTCTATCCATTCGGGGCAAATTTAATATTAACGAGTACAGTCATCCCTCGTTATATCCCCACTTTGGGACGGAGACTTTTTGGGGACATATCTGAAGTGGGATATAACCGAGTATAGGCATTTTTAGTTTAGTGGACAAGAAATTTTATTGGTTAATATACTCCGTTGGCGCTTTAACTTTTCTAACTCATCTAAATGACGAATTATATCACCCATATATCTCATCGTTTTCAGTCGTAAATTCCCTTTATTTTTAGCTGTCTCAAGTGCTTGTCTTCCTAATTGTATAG